TTATGTACTATATGTAGACGATCGGGTCGTTGTAGTAGTTTTCGTTTGTTATCTACCGTTACTAGTTACTAAAGAATAAAACGTAGTTGTAGACTATGTATGTATGTATATATATATATATATATATATAGAAAATAAAATTCCAACCAATAAAATGTGTGCTTCGATTAGATGATTTGGATACGTTGGAAAATAAATCCATTTAGTATGAGTATAGAAAAAAATTTGTCTATTTTTCCCTCGTTGTTTAATTTTATTACCAATATCATGTTTGCATTCTGTTGTTTTTTTTTGTCTACGTTGTAGATGATGTTCTGTGAGATGGAATACTCGAAGCAACTAACCGAACGGTTGTGGCTGACATCTTGAATAAAATAAAATTACGACGTTCCTGTTACTCCATTATCACGTAAAAATTTTGTTGAATAAACATAACTGTGGGGGATAATGTAAACTATCGGCAGTTCTTAATTGCATCAATTTATAACATCAGCACATAAAGAACGCTACGCGTCGTTAGTGTACACTTTGCATCGTTGTATTTCACGTTATCTAACATCGTTCCTCAAAGTAACATCCACGTAGAATCGGGACTACCTTGCTGTCATAATGAGTGGCGCCAGCGTGACCCATTTTGAACCATCCTCACGGTGAGATCACATGCTTAGTCTTCGTTATGGATGATTCATAATCACATAGGTATAATACTTTGGATTAAGAGCGTCGTAAGTCAGCAAAATGTTACAGCAGTCTTTGATGATGTTTTTTTTTAAGATTCTAGGCGACGTTCTTCTAGCTCCATTCGTGATTTTTAAATAAATATATGCAAGTTCTAAGAAATACGTCGTACCAAATTTAAATGATACTTTCACTCTAAGAAAACCAGCTTTATTAAATGTGGATGGATGTAGATGACTTATATTGCTAATAATAGTTAAACTCTTGTTTTCTTTTTCAGGCGCAGTTAATAAAATGAACCAAGTTTCATTGCTCTGCATAACTAACGCTGTGGAGAGCTGTATTGTACGATCCGTGCGCTTCGTATTGGATAAGTTAAAAGAAAAATACTGGTTTATGTACTACTTTTGTTGTTAGTTTTCTATGAGTATTGTTGCTAGTACTATTCAACTAAATATGAATATAATATTGCTATTGGAATTTACATGTATACATGCTTCATAAACAAAATAAATTTGTGACTCAAATTGGCAACAAAATATTTAAAGCTCTAGCGATACTTGAGACTAGGATTCTGTTTAAGTAGAACTCAAAGTACTTGTCTTGATTTTATGCTAACTTGAAACTAAGATTCTGGTTAAATCTCCACGTGCTTGTCTTGGTCTTAGGGTAAGACAAGTGTGTTTACGAGAAGGTCATGTTTAGCTAGTTTAGAGTGAGAAAACTTTGTAAAGAAATGCGAATGGTTAAAGTGATATGTAGTATTGGTGATTAAGAAGTGTTACAAACTACCCACTTGGATGTGCACCTACACTTTGAAACTGTGTTTTACAAGTACACGACCTGAAAGCTTCCAGATGGGAACCCTAGATGCAACAAATACGACAAAGCAGTATGGGTGATTCACTGGCTAGACAGCTGATCTCTTAATAATGACATAAGGGCAAACGATGGCTCCGGGGCGGCGCCAATACTCTTTTTATTAATTTAATTGGTTGTATATATATACAAGTGGTTTTATATCGTATATATACGTGCTACAAAAACCTACGATGCATAAGAACCGTAAAACTATCCGGCGTTAATTACCTCTTCAAATGAAAACTTTCTCACGCAAGAAATTTCACTGAATTACAAACATACAGTATTGAACTGAAGGTATAAGTAACAGACAATCTGGCTTTTGCTTTATAGTTAAATGTAACTTGCTATTTATTATATAAATTGTGATGTTATACATTAAAACTGGTCTATATATATTGAACTATGTTTAACCAAAAGCAAGCATATCTCTTTAAAATAATATTTTTCGTGAAACAAAACTTTCTCCGTATGGCAGGAACAACATTTCCCATCTATTCAGTCTCTGCTTAGTGTCAGAATGGACAAGTCACGAGGCTTATTATTTCATGCTTAACAAACGATCTTTTAAATTTGTTTTTTTATGTTAAACTATTTTGCCCTTTCCAGCGGGACACTGATAGTAGGCCTCATTAATACCCATGGTTTAGTTGAAAGTTTTTGACTATACTGAATTTGTCAAGTTACTTGTAAATATGTATCATATAAGCTCCCCTCTTTCATCAACATCACATGTTCTTCTCTTTTTGTTTTTATAAACCAGTCAGCTGACTCGTTTCCATTTCCCCAGAGGGGTGACTAGCGTACCACAACAAGCAAAATCATAATCTTTTTTTTCATGTGTGTGCGTAGTTTGTTATAACAATGCCACATCGGGCTATCTATTTTGTCTACCGAAGTGAATCGAACCCCTGATTTTAGCGTTATAAATCCGAGGACTTACCGCTGTCCCACCGGGAGACTTTTCCAAGTGTTATTAACATCGTAACAACCGAAAATGTTAACAAAATTTCTCGTTAAAATCTTTGCACTTTGAAAATTCAGCTAATAATGTCGATATAAAATACGTTTCGTGATAATGATGACGCTTGTTAGCTTTTATTTTACTAATCCTTCACCTCGACTGTTGGACTATAAATATTTACACGATAGAAGATGAATGGTTGATTATGATGAACATTGAACAACAAGAAGCAAACAACTGTGAGCTATGTTTAGGAGTCATATTGCAATAAAAAACATCATGCGCAATAAATTATATCATTTCGTGCTTTTAGTCCTTTTACTTAGTGTTTTGTAGTAAGTTAGGAATCGCGCATTGTTGTAAGATTCGTTTAATTAAAGCTGAAAACAAAAACGTTTCGTATTCTTTAAACCACATAAGATCCGTTTAAATGGATATCATGTGAACACATGAAAGTGTAGATGAAAGGGAAGAAAAAAGAAGGCAGGGAACCAAATGTTTCCTGTTCTCTAAACCGTGTAAAAATATTCCTTTAATTAAGGGAGGGAACAAAACTAATTGGTTTACTTTATTATTTCTATAGGATCCCGTGATATCGGCGGCAGGAGCGTGGTGGTGATATTCCTTTCCGTATTTAGGGAATTTCCAAATATAGTACCATCAGAACTCGCCAGGTTGTTAATTTACTTTCATAGTGTTCCAAGGTAAGATATTTCTGATCGGTATTTTATTTTTGTAATTCGGTGATAAGACAACAGTACAGGACATGTCATATCTTTATAATTTGACTGCCTTAAGTTTAATAATAGATATAGCCAAAACGTTTTTGTTAACTTAAGCATAAAAACTTTCAAGCCACGAGAAAACAGAGGGCGCGTTACATCAGTTTATGTATAACTTCACGGTAGAATAATAGAGAATTATTATATTGTTTTATATAAATATTTGCAAGAATGAGACTGGAAGTACTTGGATTTGAAAGGGTCTGTACTTTTATGTTTAGAGTAGTTTGTTGTCCTCTGTCCATCTATCTATCTTCTGTCTATCGCTAGAAAATTATTAGATGTCTAGGAGTTTGCGTACACTAACATTAATCATGCTGGACTCTAAAAAATAGTAACACCTGGTGGAATATACCGCCACTCCTCTTCCAAAGTAGTTGCTCCATGCTAAAACGTCCTCGAACAGGTATTTGTATTCCAGTTCGAACTTAGAGCAAGCTAAGGCATATTTTAGGATTTATTCGCCTCAAATTGCTTTCAACAAGATCAACTAAGCCTTACTTTTTAGAATTTGATCAACATAAGCATCATAGTAGTATACGCAATATCACCGCTTAAAGAAACATTCATTGCTGTATTAGGTTTTAACAGTGGACCGGGTATAAAAAATCAAATCCACACCATGTTAATATCCCATTACTCATTACGTATCTAACACATTCTTCAGGTGGTCAGACCTCTATAAATCAAACACAATGATCAAATCCACACCATGTTAATATCCCATTACTCATTACGTATCTAACACATTCTTCAGGTGGTCAGACCTCTATAAATCAAACACAATGAAAACATGTACCTTCTCGGATGAAATATAGATGTTATGATGATTCACGTTATAAATTTTTAGAATTCCGAAGTTATGTTGAAATCTAAACGTAAACCACAGATTCAACTAAGAAAATTATAGTTAAAACAAGATACGTAAACCACAGATTCAACTAAGAAAATTATAGTTAAAATAAGATACGTAAACCACGGATTCAACTAAGAAAATTATAGTTAAAACAAGATACGTTGTCTTACGTTGCGAGGGAAATTGCTAAAAACACTGTAGATTTAGTTATTAAAAATACGAAGGTGAGAATGCTGAAACAAAATCAGCTTTTAGCGAGTGTTTTTTGTGTTTGTGATATAGTCAAATGTTAGTTCGTCTGGAAAATTAATTAGAAATATTCGTTGTGCTTAGATTCAGTTTAGTTAATTAGTTAACGTCCAGTTTCTGTAATTGTTAACATGCATTTCTATGTAAAAATAATAATAATAATTAGTTCCTTTATTACGCATGTGTGAAGGACTGATAAGCTTTTCTTATATTAACTTGAGGTTAATCCTTTCGCAACTGGCTGGTTTGTAGCAAGGTGATTTTACTTGCTTAATAACGTTACACTGTGGGGACGGGATTCTAAATTTTTTAAACTACATCCTACGTTCCAACTTCATTATTTTTCAGGTATATTGTAGACTGTTTCATTCTCTACATTATGTTATATATATGGTGTTTACTGTTTAATAATTCCGTCAGAAGAAACAAGAGTTTTGGTTTGTTATAAAACCCAAATTGGTTCTATACGTTTTAAATTTCCATATTTCTTAGTTTATTTAAACTTTCATTAATAGTTCATGGTGTTATAAATCGAAACTTTTGGATATTTTTGTTATTATGAGATAACTTTACAGAAGTTTATTAATAATTGATGTCATTATTATATTTTGTTTAGGAAAGAAGTTACCACTTTAGGATTTTGTGTTTTAATAGACGGTCGTAAGTCAGAGGCTTCTGATTGGACAATTTTAGACGAAACCTTTTGCTTAGTCGAGGTGAGTTTTAATTGGTTCATTCATTATTCAAATTAAGTCATTAATAGTCAGAGTAATAATAGAATCTTTAATTTACTTTGTTATTACGATATTATTATGTTTGTATTCGTACGCAATGGGTGTCTTTTTTATTTTGTTTTAGGCGAACATACCCAATGCTATAAATACAGTTGTCGTGTATACGAACTGTGAGGTAATATCCGGAGGCGATTCGTTACTTCCATCTAGCGGGTTTAAGGTAAGATAAGATCGAATTCACTTTTGAGAAGTGGTTCCGAAAGAAATATTTTAATCGAGTTTTTTAACGCAGGTGCTGCATGTAACTATTATTATTATAGCAATTGTGGATGCGACCGTGGGTCAAATATTACGTTCGTGTAATTGGTTACAGAAATTTCATTTTTATCTTTCTGTATAACTTAGGCACGTGGTAAATCACATGGTCTTAAGTATTATGCGTTTGATATAAGATAATAAATATAGTTTTAAAAAAAATGCTTTGTTATCGGGATGTAAAAACGTTCCATAAAGTTGGTGAGATGCAAGAATTAAGGAAGGAGAAAAAGCTTATGTTAATATTACATAATCAGAGAAGGGGATGAAAACGATTCAGATAGATTTTTTCTTTGAATTATTAGTTTTTACTGGATGTCACAAAAGTCTTTCCCCAAAAGAAAGCCTCCGAGAACAAGACATTTAGAAAATTGTGTGAAAAGTCTCATTTCTCTGTGGGATTAGACTTTTGGGACACCGTGTACAAAATAGACAACCAAGTATCTCATTTCTCTGTGGGATTAGACTTTTGGGACACCCTGTACAATAGACAACCAAGTATCTCATTTCTCTGTGGGATTAGACTTTTGGGACACCCTGTACAATAGACAACCAAGTATCTTTATTTGTACAAGCAAGACATTTAGAAAATTGTGTGAAAAGTCTCATTTCTCTGTGGGATTAGACGTTTGGGACACCCTGTACAATAGACAACCAAGTATCTCGTTTCTCTGTGGGATTAGACTTTTGGGATACCCTGTACAATAGACAACCAAGTATCTTTATTTGTACAAGTTATGTAATGAAATGTATATAATATACATTAGTTACGGAATGGAAGTTGATCCCCCTTTATGTAAAAACATATTTTTCAAAGAATCGTGAGATCTATAAAAGGACATAAATTGATTGAATACTAGATTTTTTACGCTAATTGATTTTTAATTGTGCTCAAAATGTGAATATAACGTTAATTTTTCAGTATAATGTTGCCGTAGACGTGGAACACCTACACAGATATGTTCAAAGGGACCAGTTGTTTCCTCAGTATTCTGGTAATTACAAGTATGACCACCAGGAATGGATTAGTTTCAGAATGGTAAGACTAACAGTATAACTATTGTCGCATAAAACTTACTAATTCATATAAAAACTACACCAATATAAATATTTTGTACTTGTGGAAAACTATTTATTCAGAAGAAACTATAATATACTCAGTATTTTTAGATGTGAAAAACGTGTTCTATCTTCATGTTTATTAGAAATTATGTGAAATTGAAAATGAACGATCACATGTGGTATTAATTTAGTTACGCGATAGAACAAAATTAATGAATTATATTAAAGGATACTGTTTTATGAATAACTATATTTACAATATTGTACTTCATTTATATTAATTAACCGGTTAAGACTTTTTTGACAGTGTGATGGAAGTACAAAAATATAACCAATATATTTTTTCTTTTGTATTTGTAGTTTCTAGAGCCATTTATTAGTGGTTGTCAGCTATCTGGACGCCATCTTGTTACCGTAATGCAGGACTTGCGAGGAAGCAGACTCCCACCAACTGCCTCATTAACAAGTCAAATCATTGAGCAGCAAAAACGAGTTATCAATCAAGCATTTCAAGACGAACAACTGCGTCATCTAGTAGAGGAAGGGGACACTGTTTTGAACGAATTAGAATCGTATGGTAGTAAAACACCTTATAATCATGATTACAAGTACGTATATATATTTAGAAACTGGGAATAAACGCGTGAAATGAATAAGTTTGTAAAATACTGGAGTCTGATAGTAGTGTATATTATATAAACGCATGAAATGAATAAGTTTGTAAAATACTGGAGTCTGATAGTAGTGTATATTATATAAACGCATGAAATGAATAAGTTTGTAAAATACTGGAGTCGCATAGTAGTGTATATTATATAAACGCATGAAATGAATAAGTTTGTAAAATACTGGAGTCTGATAGTAGTGTATATTATATATCTTACAATCAGGTTGTTAATGCCCTGATTAAACAAATCAAGGCAAAAAACATGTCGATGTCCTCTTTAACACCTTCCACATTTGCATACGTTTTCCCATTAAGATGGTGTTGCAGCGAATGAAAAAGATGGTAATCTGATGGTGCCATATCTGGAAAATATGGTGGGTGGGGAAGAACTTCCCAACCCAACCCCATAATCTTGTGTTGCGTCAAACGTGCCACATGTGGACGTGCATTTTCATGGAAAAGAAGAACACCTTTCCGATTGACGAGTGAAGGGCATTTCTGATGAAGGGCTTGATTTAAACATTCCAGATGCTGACTATAGATCTCTGCAATGACAGTTCGCTGTGGATTGAAGAGTTCAAAATGAATTACTCCTTTGATGTCCTACCAAATGCAAAGCATAACTTTCTGCGGATAGAGTCCAGGTTTTGGGGTCGGAAGTGGTTTTTGTCCAGAACTGAGCCACTGTTTTTGGCATTTAATATTCACACAGAGAATCCATTTTTCATCACCGGTGACAGTTCTGTCCAAAAATGGTTCACACGCATTACGCACCCGAAGAGACGAAGAAACGTTCACTCACTGGGAACGATGATCATCGGAGAGTTCGTGAGGCACCCAAACACCTTCTCTATGGAGTTTTCCCATATTCCTTAGATGTTTACATATTGTTTCATGAGAGACATGCAATTTCAGAGCCATTTCACGAGTATCTTGCCTTGGGCTAGACTCAACAAGCGTCTTCAGACCATCAATATCAATTCCAACATGTTGGTCTCTGCCATCACAATTTTTAAAGATAAAGTAACCTGAACGAAGTTTGTTGAACTATCTTTGACACTTACGAACGTTCAAAACGTTTTCATAAACTTATTTTATATTCTTTGTCACTACAGAGGCGTTATTTCCCTTCTTGTATTCAAACAGCATTACATGTCGAATGTCTATCTCGTCGTGTGCCATCACTATAAGGGATTAGAGTATACTAAACTTTGCACATTATATAGGCTACACTAACGTGACGTTTAGGCTGTTCGTTTAACTATTGTTAGGCCTCCGTTCGTTAGTTAATTTTCCGTAAATTTCTTTCCGATGAAACTTCAGCGATACAAGTCCTTTCTTAAATAAAACTGGTTTATTCTTTCTAAATACAACTTTGCAATACACTTAATTTCCACAGTCGCGCTATAACAAACGCTATAAATCACAACGAACGTCTCACGTGCTCGACTCAACAATACGTCTCTCTGTCCGCAGTTCAATTACACATTACATTGTTGTCGTCAGTTCTTACCGGTTTATATATACAAGACTACCCATATCTAGTAGGCTCTCGAGATTTCAGGAAGGGACGGGAACGTTCGAGAAGCACATGACGTGTGACTAGGGTCACGTGACTTCTGCTGTCGTAACACTATTATACGTGATGTACGTTTTTTTTTGGGGGTGGTTAATGAAAGTGTTCCAAAACACGACATTAACTTCTTGACGACCTAATAGTACAAAGTATATAAACGTATAAATGAACCGTTTTGTAAAATACTTTAGTCAGATAGTAATGTGTTATGTTAACGTTTAAAATGAAAATAGTTTGTAAAATACTGTAGTTTGATAGTAGTGTATATTATATTAACACGAGATATTACAATCAGTTAATTAATTATAGCAATTTTTGATAATACTGATAATTTTGTTGCTTACCTTTCGTTTACTTTACCTAGTATTTCATGAGGAAAGGTTGCAGTAAAATAGTTATTATATTTGCTACTCATATTGTGGTTCTAAAAAGTAAGTGACTTTAAGACATGACAAAAGTATAATTGTAGTTCCTGAATTTTAATAAAAAATATTTGCTCAAAAATAAAGTACGAGAAAAATATGATCGTTATATAATACATGTATAGATGTTCATATATAATACATGTATAGATGATCCTTATATAATACATGTATAGATGATCCTTATATAATACATGTATAGATGTTCATATATAATACATGTATAGATGA